GTGCGTCTATATTCCAGACCGTGACCTTCCGGCCTGAGCGAAGCTCCTGTGACTTGAAGAGCTTCTTGGCCTGCTGTGCGTGGCGACCTGCCAGTTTAACCATGATGTTGCACTTGGCGTAATTCACTTCTAGTCCGGCTTCTTGCAGGTAGTGCAGTAACAGTCTAACCATGTCATGAGCCGCATAGAGATCAGACCAGTTGTGGATGTCTCGGTGAATTACGAGGTCATCTGCGAAGCCTGTGAGGAACTGCTGTATTGGAGAGAACCCTATGTGGGTGGCCATAAGCCGGAACGCCTCCGTGATGACCAGGGAGAAGAGGGAGGGGGCCAGTTTGCATCCTTGCTTTATACCTCTTGTGGAGGTTACTGTTTCCTGGCTTCGTCCATAGCGCAGATTATACTGGGCCTCCCTATGGAGGGATGCAACCAGCTCGACGTCTTCGGGTGAGGCTCCATAAGTAATTAGTGAGCGCAAAAGAGCTTCTCTGCTTGTTTTGTCAAAAGCTTGAGAGAGATCTAGTGAGAAGGTGAAGCCTCCGATTAGGTCCGGCTTGCCCTTCGTGCGCTTGGGAGTGCAGAATCTGTCTGGTGCTCGGGATCGAAGCATGGCACGGACGCGCCTTGCGTGGCCAATTACCCGGAGTTGGGCATCGGCGATACCGCGTCCTGGAATGTAGGCAAATTGAGGGGAAGCAAAGTGGGCCTTCTTGAAGAGGGGGTCAAGTCTTCTCCTAGCCTCAGAGGCTATTCCTTTGCCATCTGGCCTAATGATGCCCAGCGGTCGCAAGTTCTCCGGCTTAGAGGCTGGTTTAGAGGGCTTGGGTATGAAGCTAAGGTCTGCTGACTTGGCTGTTATGGGCAGCGAGGGTGGCTCGGCTGGATTCATTGGTGCTGTGTTATGCTGAGGCTCGCGCTTCCCTTGGCAGGAGGTGACCTCGCACGCCTGATGGGTCGGAGCGGGAGGCGGAGGCACCGCTTCGAGATAGTCGCAGTAGTTATTGGCCACAGTGGAAGCACAAAGGCGGTACATGGATGCGGGGGCAGATCCTTGCGGTACTGCCTTTTCCGGCTTTATAGAGGCTATGCCTTTGGACAGACTACTTTTGTCCAGCTTGGGCAAGGCTTGGCCTACGCCACTAGCTAGGGGGGGATGCGAGGAGAAGATGGAAAGACTATGTCTCTTTAACTCTGCCAGTCCCTCAGGCTCAGTTAGGATGCGGCCGCATGGCGATCTGAGGCAGACTCTTGGTGCAGGAGACCAAGGAGCTACATGCTTTAAGGAGCGATATGCCGCATGTGGATCTCGTTTGACCTTCTCAGAAATCTCTTTCAAAGTTCGATGAGTTCTTTCTCGGGCCTGATTCTTTATCTGGATGGCATGTGCCTTGGCTGCCTCGTCCAGCGAGCGCTGAGCCTGTTTGAGGTGCTCGGTGCGAGCCATCTTATTTATGACGTCGTCCTCACGTTTTAGGTTTCGCAGTGCGGTCTGCCGATGGTTATGAAGCCGCCACAGAGGTTGTGCTGTCGGAGCTGCGTCCGAGCTGCCTGCTTCTGGGTCCCTCGGCTGGAAAGTCTTGGCATGTTCGAGAAGAAGCTCGTTGACCTCATCAGGGTGAAGAGGCTCGCCATTCTTCTGCGCTCGGAGTTTGTCGACATCCTTTGCTACTTGCTCCCGCAGGGTTTGGGCCAGAGGAGTGTTTTGTCTAACATGGTGAGCCAGTAGGGACTTTTGTTTGGAAGGGACTGCCGGTTGAGTTTTGGTCGAGAACGGGTGTCTCCAGACCTTCTTGAGGGGTACTGCCGTCCTGAGTGGCATGTGTTTGCCACCTTTACGCCATGCTCCCAGCTTGAAGTCTTTGAGGACACACACTTTGCGGGCCAGCTGAGCAGCGTAGAATTTGGAGGTCAAGATGAAATCTATCTGAGAGCTGCCCTGTGGCGAGATGAAAGTGTTTGCCTTGCGCCCCTGCCATGTGTTAAGCGCAACTAGGGAGTTTCGCTGAAGAAACTTCTGGAACTGCTTTTGAACCGGCTTGTGCTTAGAAGATCCTGCTGGCACCACTCCCCCTACAAAGGGGGGATTTGGTTTTAGGGAAGAGTTGAAGTCGCCCGCCAGTACCGGAACAGTACGCTGTGACAAGTTGGTAAGGGACTTGCTTAGGGAGGAGAGAACTTTGCTTTGGGTGGCATAGTGGTCCTGCTCCGTCATGCCTCGTTGCTTGGTGTACTGGTAGCAGTTGAGCAGGAGCACTGGATGGCCTCGGATTTCGCAGTGAACCTCGTGAGCACGGCCTGGGTGTAGATCCTGCCAGCGTAGTGTTGCTGAGTCTATGCTAGGCGATAGTAGAGTGAGAACACCTGCAGAGCGCCTGTGCTTTGGCTGTTCGGGTAGCTGGGATGTTTGAGCGGGAGGAGACCTCACGAGCTCTTCATCCGGCAGCCCGCCTGAGACAGCTGTCCAGCCGTGCACTTTAAACTGGGAGGATGTAGTCCAGTGGGTTTCCTGGATAAAGATAACATCGAGGTCCTGCTGATATTGCAGCCACTCCTTGAACTCTGCCCACAATTGCTGGCTTAATCCACCTGCATTCCACGAGAAAACCCGCAGTGGTTTGGCTTCGCGACCGCCTCTAGGGTGACGCCTACGCGGTTGCCTAAGAGGAAGCTGCGGTGCAAATTGAGCATGCATGTTTTCCTTAGTCTCTTGGCTTGCACTAGGTGCAGCCGTGCCTGCGCTTGCCTGTGCCTGGCTTAGAGGCAAATTTGTCCTTCGATATGGTACTGCGCAACCGTCCCTTAAGGCTCGGTGACAGGCCCGACGATAGGAGTGTTTCCGAATTAAACCCTCTGCCATCCGCTTGTTTCGACTGAAGTGCCGAAGCACGATCAGACTCCCCTCGTCCTGCGGAAAGACGAGAACCCTCACACTTAGGAGTGAAAGATGCAGTCTAAGACGATCTAAGTTCTCCCCCCGGAATTGGGACCGGGCCAGCTCGTGGATATGCTGTCTGCGGCAGAATCTCAGAATGCTTGAGGCTAAAGCCTCAAAGTGACCATCAGCTGGCAAGAGCTAGAAAGCCTTGAGATGTTAGAGGGCCCCGAAAACTGTTAAAGAGATGAAGTTCGGGGCCTTGGCCGGTTCGACAGCTACCATGCGCGGGCGGCTTGAGCTGGTAGTGCTTAACAACAACAACAACAACAACAACAACAACAACAACAACAACAACAACAACAACAACAACAACAACAACAACAACAACAACAACAACAACAACAACAACAACAACAACAACAACAACAACAACAACAACAACAACAACAACAACAACAACAACAACAACAACAACAACAACGACAACAACAAACAACAACAACAACGACAACAACAACGACAACAACAACGACAACAACAACGACAACAACAACGACAACAACAACGACAACAACAACGACAACAACAACGACAACAACAACGACAACAGAACAGAACAGGCCGCCTCTGGCACGGGAAGCGGGATCTCCTCGTGCAGGGATGCCAGGGATGCTCGAGTCCACACGCTTGTTGTTCATCCAAGTCCTGTGACTCGATCCCTGCTTTCTCACCCTGTCCTGCGGTGGTGGGGCAGCCTGAGCGGCCTCCTCCGCCTCGATGTCTTCGAGGATCTCCTCAACAAACTTCTAGGTAAACTGTACTGTAGGCCGATGTTTGCTGCAAGGATAACACTGGTGGAAAAGGCGCCTGATCCCCTGACCGATAGAGATGTTCCTGCTCCTTCGCCTCTCACAAAAGCGCGCCGTATGCGCCATCGTTCTGCGCTTTCTGCCGTTCTCTTTTCTCCGAGCGCCGAGCCAAGGCGGCCTCCTCATCCAAGCCAGCTTTGGAAGAAGGAGCGTTCTCAGCAAATTCGCAACTCTTCCCACACGTGCTGACGCATGCTCTGACCCATGCTCTGATGTTTGCTCTGACATACGATCGCCAAGGCGCGGTTGCCGCCTCCCGGAGGCTTGCCGGCAGCTTTGGCCAGCCACTCACCGCCTTCGGGGCAGGACAGCGCCTTTTGATCTCGCATCTTTGATCTCACTTGAGAACTTGACATGTCTTGACTTTTTTTTGACCCCCCAGGCGATCTGGCCATATCGGTGGCTATTCTGGCCATATCTGTGGCCATGTCTGGCCATGTCTGGCCATGTCTGGCCTCCAGCCGGAGCAGCCTTCCAGCCATCGAAGCCGGGGAGCCGGAGCAAGAGCTCTCAAAGTCTGCTCAAAACTCAATCTAAACGCAAGCTATAGGCGTTCTTGAAAAAGGGGGGGGGGGGGCAAGTGCTTATGTGCGTGTTTCTCGTATTTTGCTACATGCGCATACGCGACCTGAGACCGAGAGTGCGAGCCGGCGCAAAGATGGCTCAGCAACATACTGCGACGTTCCGCTGGGGATGCTCTCCGCAAAAAAGATGCTCTCCACGATGCTGAGGCTCGTTTTTGGGGGGCCCTCGCCTCCTTCGCAAAACTCTTCGCCGCTTTGGGCAAAGAGGCTTGCGAGTTCTATAGGCCGGGCCCAGCCTCCTCGTCGGACCTGCACAAACATGTACGTATTTACTCGACACATCAAGCACAAAAGTCACTCAGAAAAATCTCAGAGAGGGGAGCCAGGGCTCTGTACGAGCCTCGACAGCTCCCTGTCCACGAGCAAGGAGTGATCCACCGAGGGTATCCGCTCCTGCTCCGTTCCAACAGTTATCCAAAGAGAAGCCTTCAAAAACATCTTTGTCACACTTGTTTTGCCGAGGCTCGATGTGGAGGTGTGTGGCCACGACAGCGCTTGCCGTTTCTCGTGCCTTCTCGCAAAAAACAAAAGCCATATGTGCTGCAGGGCATTGCAGAGCTACGGGGGGCTAGCACGGGGAGTCGAAACAGGCAGAGCTCTTACTTGGCCGAACGATGCCTCCATTGTAACTGTGAAAGAAGAGTCTGCGAGCTCTAGTTTCTTTTCTTCTGATCAGGTTTGCTGACATCCCTCCGACTCTGACTCAATTGCAGACCTGCACATACTTCCACTCTGCCAACAGCACGCAGAGAATCCTGAGAGGACGGCGGGAAGAACCTCTTCCCGGTCCAAGGACAGGGTGATCTCCTCGACCAGTAGCCCTTGTGCCTGCCATGGCTAAGCCGGCTAAGCGTTCACTCTCGGGCTGTCCTCGGGTCTGGGGCCCACGCTCTGGAGAGGACGCGGTGTGTTTTGGGCCTCAATGATTCAAGCAAAGTCTTATGGGTCTTGACTGTAAGTACTCCCACGTTAGCCGTTAGCGGCCAAAGTTTGGGGCCCAGGGCATGAGCTGCTGCAGGGTGAGCCGCTTCCTCACGGATCCTGGCAAAACGGGTCATAAAGACCGCAGAAGAAGAAAGCAAAGAAAAAGCAAAGAAAAGTTTGCAAATAGAAAAGCAAACCAAAAGCAAAGAATGCGCTATCTCTGAGCGTGACGGTCTGTCCGTAACGCTCACCAAGCTTGTTGAGTGCCTGCAGGGACTTTGCTGCGTATGTAAACCCGTTGGCACATGCGGGAAGGGAGCTCTTTGGAGCTGTGCAATTCGCAGCTGTCCATATGACGCAGCTACGCAGCATGCAAGAGCACACAGAAAAAGGACATGCTTACCCGCTTAGCCTGCACTGCAGAGAAGTCGGCCACATGCCCAGTCTCAAACACCAAACCTGAAACGCACAGGAGCTCCAACAGCTTCCATCGCTTCTATGAGCACCTTGGGGCTTTTGGGAAATATAGAATTATCGAGCCTTATACAGATAATCTTGCATACATCTATCGCGCATTCCGAGCTCCGGGCGCACGTCATCTGGGTCTTTGTCCTGGCAAGACCCTCCGTCGAAACTCCATTCTCCCGCACTCCAGAACTCCGTTTCCAAGAAATCTCCTCGTCAAAGAGCTCCAAGAAGTGCGACGTGCTGCCGAAGAAGAGCGTGCCCTGTCCAGAAGACTGGGACTGGGATCTGCTTGCAGAGGCAGAAGCTGCGCGGTCTTCCAAGGCATACCGCCGGCGGCGTGGGAAGGTTGAAGGGGGGTTTGTGATACAAGCTGCTTCCGCTGCACCGAGGGTGACCAGGCTGAGGTCTGAACGTGTACGTCGTAGACCTGAAGTCGCGGGGATCAAGGCAAAGAGCGAGAGAAGTCCTGAAAATAGGAGCTGAGAGCTGGGAGCTGAGAGCTGAGAGCTGAGAGCTGGGAGCTGCGAGCTGCGAGCTGCGAGCTGCGAGCTGAGAGCTGAGAGCTGAGAGCTGAGAGCTGAGAGCTGAGAGCTGAGAGCTGCGAGCTGAGAGGAGGCTCTGTCTTTGCTCCTCTCTCTTTTTTGGGGATTCTAGTTGTTGTTTGTGTCTCCCCCCTGGCTTGTCTCGGGCCGCTTTGTTCCCGACCTTCACGCCGTCGCGGCTGTCCTCCCGGGCCACGACTTGGATCGTGTTCGAGGTCTCCAAAGCAAAGACAAAGAGCGAGATCACCATCCCAACCGCCTTGCACACAACGCCACGCACCGACACAGCGAGATGCTAGTCTCGCGCAACAGCTAGTCGTGGAACAGCCGCTTTTTGGAGTTGAAGCCCCTGACCACGGCTGTCGCCAGGTCTGTGAAGAGCGTGACCAAGGTCACCTTGAAACGCAGTTTACATAAGTCGGGCGCAACAATTAGAACAAGCTGATCAGCATCGCAGCATCTTTGCCAGAGCTGACAGAGAGGGTCAACACAAGGTCGAGGGGCGACGATGATGACCAGGGCATCCGTGCGCCTCACCCGCGATGAGAAGCAACACTGAAGTGAGCAAAGAGCGCAAAGAGTGCAAAGTGTGCAAGAGTGCGAAGGGCATAGAGAGCCCTCTGCTGATTGAGAGCCCTCCTGATTGAGCGCCTGGCCTAATTTGTTGGCTGCTTGCCTTGGCGCTAAGGAACCTGCGGAATGACACCGCGCGTGCAGCCTGAAAAGAGAAAACCCCTACCCGGTCCTACCCACCTGCGTCTTGCTTGAAGAGGCATCGCAGCCAAGAAGATGAGCTTCAGCGAGCTCCATTCGAAGGTGTGGAAGCAGACGTTAAACATCACCTTGAGCAGGAGAAGCTTCTGTTATCCTTTGCCATCTTCTCTGCTTCTGAGACTGCAAGTTGCAAACGCTTGAAGTGCCCAGTTGCCCCTACGAGGGCGGAGACAGGAATCTGCTTGATGGCTGGGTAGGCTACAAGCACAATGGCCAGCAGGAAGGCTCCTGAAGGCGAGGTAAAGGAAATAGAGAAGCAGAAGAAGCGGTCGTCGAGTCCTGCCGACAGGGAGCTCAGCCGCGACCGAGCGCCTCAAGATCACGCGCCCCAAAACTCAGCTGAGGAAGTGTTTTGTTTGTTTTTCTCTGCCTCTCCCCGACAAACTCTAAAGAAAGGCTAAGTGTAATTAAGGCGGATTTAGGATATGAGACCATATGAGAACTGTCGCTCCAGTCTCCGCTCTTCTTCTGCTCTCGCTTAGACTCTTTGGACTCTGCTTTGGACCCATCTTTACCCCAGCTGCGCATTCCGCGGGTTCCCCGGCCCGAGCCGATGTTGATCATCGACTGGCCGATCATCGCGCACCCGCCCATGCCCCCGAAGCAGCCGCAGACCTGAAAGAAGACAAGACAAAGACGACTGGGTGCTCTCTCTGAGAATCAGCTCTCTCTGAGGTCCACACCAGATTTGCAAGTCCTGGCTTCCATGCCATCTTCCACATGCCCATGCCCCATCCGATGCGTTCTTATCAAACCGTGTTCATTGTGTTCATTGTGTTCATTTTCTCCCTCTCCGCCATCCTTGTCCCAGGCACTCCCTGCGCGCAGCACATCGGAAATATTCGGAAATCAAAACATCAAAGCAACAAAAAGTTGCCAACACCGTAATAGCTACTCAGTAGCTCCTTGCCATAGCTCCAAACAGCACTGAACCGCACTGAATAGTATTGAACAGCACTGAACAGCACTGAACAGCTCTGAACAGCTCTGAACAGCTCTCTCAGAGGCAGCCCATGGCCTGGTTGGGTTCCCTTTAGTCTTGGTGATCTCATCGATGAGGTTCAAGGTCCTTGGGCTGAATTCCAAATAAAAGGGAAGCAGCTTCTCAATGAGCCAAGGGCAAAGCATGAGGGACTCCAGCAGACCCACAGCCTCAGCACATGACGAGCGGACTAGCACGTTAAGCACCGGTCACATAATTCAAAGTCTCTATCGCTTCCGCCCTCTTCGACCGGGGCGTGTGCCGCCATCGTCACAGACAGCGGCAGGACCTGCAAGAAACAACAAACATGCAATTACAATCATTAACTGCCTTTAACTTCGATCATCCCTACCCTACAGCTTCTGATGAATGTAGGTACTTTCCGCGGAAATTCTCTGAGGGAGGGCTCCATACTCAACGGGCTCGCGAGCCCTCTGCGGGACTCTCTGCAGGCTTCTCTGGGGGTGGGCACTCCAGGGATGGCTTCCCCAGGAGACCGGGACATCGGGCGAGGAAGTGAGGAGGCGAGGAGTGTGGTTGATTTAAAAACAACCCAGCAACGAGAATGGGGAAAAACAACAAGAGAATCCGTGAAACAACTCACATGGCATCCGCAGATCACAAATCCCTCCGACTGGTCCAGCGCAAACCATCTCTCTTCTAGGAGCGAGAAAGAACCAAAAAGCACCCATATGTCGCGTGCATGTCTTGATACCCTTCTCCAGCTACGGAAAGCTACAAAAAGCTACTGCGGCGGGATTGGCCTTGATGAGCAGCTCCTGGAGACCGGGCAGACTTTGCAGAAACCCCGACCGATCCCCCTTCGCTGATTTTTTTGCTCTGATCCCTTCTCTGTCCTTGCTGAAGGGCGGCGGGTTTGGATAGTCACTGGCCAACACATGACAAAGAGAGAGCTCAAGAGGAATCTTGTGCTTAAAGCTTTGTGCTTCAAGCTTTGTGTGCTGAAAGAGAAAGGGAGCGAGAGAGAGAGAGGGAGAGAGAGAGAGAGAGAGCGAGAGACAGAGAGAGCGAGAGAGAGAGAAAGAGAGGGAGCGTGTGTGTGTGTGTGAAACAGAGAACCGGCCACCTGTTGAACCAGAAGGGCACCGGGAAGTCGCACTGGCTGGCGATGTCCCCCACAATGGGCGTTCTTGTGTCGAAAGCAATCCTGGCCACGAGCCACTCGAAGGCCGTGCCTCTCAACGAGAAGAGCAGAAAACAAGAGCTCTCTTAAAGACAGAGCACTCTTCAAAACACGAAAAAGACGACTCAATTAGATAAATTCGAGCCTAGAAGGATGGCCACAAGGGCCGAGGGCACGCGCGTGGAGAGCTTTGGCAGGAAGAGGCTCACAAAGAAGGACAAGGCCGTGATCAGCCTTGGAAGGAAAATTTCATGGACCCTCACTCATTCAGAACCCCCCTTTTTTCAGGGCGGAGGAGCGCAGAGCTCAGGGGGCCCAGGCCCTGCGAACAGCAACACCTTGCCCTGCACGAACGGCACACCATCCTCAGCGGTGGGGGCTCCAGAAAGGGGATCCGGAAAAGGCTCTCAGAACCACGTGGTGAATCGGGCTCGGTCAGTGAAGGCGTGGAAGCTGTCTAAGCGGCGGCCCTGACACATCAAGGCAGGAACAACGGAAACTCTGCAGCAGACCCTCCAGGATTCCAGCGCTGGATTCACGGCCATGCTGATGCAGGGCTTCCGGGTCCTTGCGAGAAAACAGTTGAAGGATGTTGAAGAAGGATGTTGAAGGTGGGGACTCGATTCATCTCACCTGTCTGTACTGGCACTATACTCCCACTCGTCCTTGAAGTTGCTAATCTGAGCCAGGCCGATCACGAGGGCCAAGCCGTTGCAGAAGCCAACTGAAAGCAACAAAACATTTGCCGTGCCCGATGTGTATATATGTATATCTAGACATATATATATATATATATATCTCTGGTACCCCCGCCCCCCCCAGTGACCTACCTTTTTTCGCCTTGTCTCAGTCACCCAGCTGCACTGCAAGCAAACTCGGTGTGCAATATAGCGTATTTCCTAGGGCGTAGACGAAAATACAACTAAAATCGCATACACAGGACAGTAGAAAAACCAAAAATACCAAAACCAAAAAAACCAAAAAACCAAAACCAAAAAAACCAAAAAAACCAAAACCAAAAAAAACAAAAGAACCAAAACCAAAAAAAAACAAAAATACCAAAAAAAACAATTTTCCGGGACTCTCAGGAAATCCCTATGAGGCTTCTCCAAGAGTCCCGGAAAACTGTTTTTTTTTGGTATTTTGGTCTTTTTGGTTTTGGTTTTTTTGGTTTTGGAATTGTTGGTTTTTTGGTTTTGGTATTTTGGCTTTTTGGTTCGCCTTCACGGTCACGAGGCAACAACTACGCATTTTTAAGTGTGCTTATGCTAATTGTGCTTCTCACAAATAGTATACCAGTGGTCTTTCTAGTGCTTCAGAACTATTTGTTTCGTTATTATGTAAATAGAGCCGCTAGTGTTTAGTGCATCTCTTGGTTGTACTCAAGTGTAGTAGACCTTATTCAGCCATTACTTGGTGCTCTGGTAGCTCAATTCGCATGGATAATATTTGCCTGGTAAATGCGATTAATTATCTAGAAGCAGCATTTGCAATACTTGTCTTGAGAAAAAGCATTTATTGCTTAGAATTGTTTGCTTAAAAAGTGACTCCTACTCGTCCAGGAATACCCCAAAACCCTATAATCCAAACTTTACCAGAGATTCTCCTGAAAAGTTTGCGCTTTTTGGATGTTTTTATGTATTTGTGAATTTGCTTGTGTATGGCCTTCACTAAGTACTTTTCTAGGATTCTTGTGCATTTTTTAAGCCTGATTGTGCAAGTTGCGTTTTTCAGGCATAGTATATATGTGGTCTTTATTGAATACTTCAGACATCTTTGTTTCATCGTTATGTAAGTAGAACCGCTTCTATTTCCAGTATTGTCCATTCTTAAGCTTGCTCATGCAAATTGTGCTTTTCAGACATAGTATATAAGTGGTCTTTAGTTAATACTTCAGCAATCTTTGTCTCATTGTTATGTAGGTAGAACCGTTTCCATTTCCGCAAGTGTTTATTTCGTATTTGGTTAAGTATGGTCCTTTAAATAGTATTCACTTGAGTCAAATTGGGCTATTTGCTTAAGAACTCCTCTCGTAGTTAAAATCGCATAGAATGAATACTTCAAAAAATTGTTTCATGAATATGTAAACATAAGGTGTTTCATTTGACTTTGCAGATAGTACTTCAATAATACTTTGCCTGGTATAAACACAACTGTTTCAATGCATTAGTTGCTCAACAAAGCACTATTTGCCCTTTAAACCACTGCTTCTTTCGTATTTTGGTTGAGTATGGTCCTTTAAATGGTATTCACTTGAGTCAAATTGGGCTATTTGCTTAATAATTATTCTAGTAGCTAAATTCGCATAAAATGATTATTTCAAAAATAAGAACGATTCATGAATATGTAAACATAAGGTATTTCAGTGGACTTTTCAGAGAGCACAATTGTATAAATACAGTATTCGCACTTTAAACGCACACTTTGCCATTTTTTGGTTGAGAATGGTGTTTATTTCGTATCTTGGTTGAGTATGCTCCTTTAAATAGTATTCACTTGAGACAAATTGGGCTCTTTGCTGAACAATTACTCTAGTAGCTAGATTCGCATAGAACCAAGAAAAATGTTTCACTATTTGATTAATACTTTGCCTGGTACAAACACAACTGTATAAATAAATTAGTTGCTCAACAAAACATTAATTGCCCTTGAAACGCACAATTTTCATAGAAAAGCACTGATCTAAACAGCTAAAAACAGCATTGTCCGCTTCAGATTCAAAATGTAGATTCTTCCAATGCTGGCTTATCGGGGTCTGTGAGGTGGGTGTCCCAGTAACTGTCCTTCATTACCCGGTGATTAACTACGCGACTTTTGGGCCTCCTTTGTTGTTTTTTGTTAAACAGGCCTAAGAAGGCCTAAAAAGGTAGGTGGGGGTAGTATATATATATATATATATGTGGCAAGGACCTTTATGTATTATTTGACGGGTCTCTTTGTTTATACTATTCAATACTACTCAATTACTCAAATAACAAACATTTAGGATGTATACACCACTGCCCTTAAAAAAGAACCAAACACAGCTTTGCTGTTGGTAGAGCCTAGGGTACGAAACCACTACTGCAAAACGGCTGACGGCTCATGGTTCGGGGCTTCGGGTTTAAGGTTGACGGTTGAAAGCTTAGGGGCGAGGGATTAAGGTTAAGAGGTCTTAGGCTTGAGGTCTGGGGTTTAGAACCACCATAAACTCTAAGCCCCAGACCCTAAACCCAAAACCCAAAACGCAAAACCCTCCACCCCAAACGCCAAACGCTAAATCTGCACAAAAAAACATTGCTTGTGATTCAGCATTCAGAGATCAATCGTGGAGAAAACAACAGATAAGCAAGAAAGGGTGATAATAAGAAAGGACAAAAAGAAAAGAGAGAGAGAGAGAAAGAGCGAGAAAGAGTAAGATGAGGAGAAGAGGAGGGGGAAGGTGAGTCAAGGGAAAAGAAGAACAACCTCTCAAGGGACAAGAACAAGTGCAAGCCGGCACAAGCCGGTGCGAAAGCTGCTAAATAACAAGGAGGGAATACTCCTCCCTCTCCTCTCTTCCTCTCCTATTCTTGACTTGCTTATTCATTTGAGAAGGGCGTGGGAATGGTCTGGAAAGGAGGGAAGGGCAAGGCATGTCACGAGGAGAGGGAAGGGGTCAAGGCGGAGGAGAGAAAATGAAAAAACTTCAGGAAGACGATGAATAAGAACAAAGAAGAAGAATAAGAAGATCGATCGAGGTTCCTCAAACAAAATGGACATGATCAACGCGCCACGCTTGTTAGATACTGTAGAAACGGCAGCACGCAGATCGCGCCAGATTTCGCCAATCCTGTTTGGGAAGAAATCATGAGAAAACGCCCAAGCTAAAGAACTTGAACTTTCTAACCTCTCGAGGGCCCCGGGCCAGAGAACTTTCACTTTCTGACCCCTCAAGAGGCCCAGGCGAAGGTCTTTAACTTTCTGATCCCTCGAGATGCCCAGGCTACAGAACTTTAACTTTCTGACCTTTGGAGAGCCCCAGGCTAAAGAGCTTTAACATCCTTACAATCCTGGGGAAATATATTCAGGATGTTAAGGATTTTAAGGATTTTAAGGAATGTGGGGGCTTCCCAAAATTTTTAGAAAATTCCAGGGAGTGTTTT